GAATTCACGCCCACCCCTTCAGATCAGGATCTGTGCCTTCCATAGGCCACCAGTGACCCCAAGTCACCAAGTTGAGTGATCTCACCTCACACTCATGCTTAAACTGCAGCATTTGGGATGGAGGAGCATGTCCTCTATTTGAAATGCCCTCCCCCTGTGCCTTCTGAGATACTTGGCCGCCTGGTTTTCCATCTGCGCCTCTGATTACTTTTACAATAACACGTCCTCTCTCCCTAATGATGGTGCTCGCTGAGGGCCCTCCTTCTCTTTTTTCCCTTCATTGTAATCAGCTGAGTCACGGATCTGGTTCCTAACTCAGCCCCTTTTCCAGTTTTTGCATCAAATCCTCCTTGCACTCCAGCAGCAATTCCACGTTATTGGTTGTATGAATGGCTGGCTCTCAGCCAAGGGTTGCCATACACCCCAGCACCCTGTTGAGGTAATTGGACTAATGGTGGCACCATTAGCATTAGAGGGCCAGGACGGAGAGGTGGTTTTGAAGAGAGTGTTGGTTTGCAATGGATGTAATAAGTTTCTTGTTCTCATTTTAGCCTCAGAAATATGGCCAAGCTTCATGGGGAAGCTACCAAAGAAGTATCATTTGGGAGCAAAAAATAGGGTTTCAGGTAACTAAAAGTGGGATGAAATTTAAATGTCTACCTGAACTTAAGGGATTATTTATTTTAATATTCATCAGAAAGACCCAGATGAACCCTAGTGGCAACCTTACCTGGGGTTTTCCAAGTTTCTGGGTCTCTGAATTCTTGCTGGCAGTGACCAACCAGCAAGGTGAGAGGTAGGAGTAATATTCTACTCTCAGAAGATGTGAAGTTGTTGCTAAAAAACACTAAGGTGTTTTGTTTATTTGTTTTGTTTTAGTTTGGGGTCCAGGTGTTACAGGTAGCCGAGATCAAGGGCCGGAGGTAGTTGTAGCATTTTTTCCCAGGGTGAGAAGGGCACACAATGAAGGAAGAGAAGACTGTGCACAGCATGGGGAATCCTAGAGATGAGGTTGGCTAGACCCCCAGCATTGACCCACATGGGCCCTCTGGATGGTAGTGCTGCAAGGCCAGCAGTCAGCACCGTATGCTTTACAGATGGAAAACTGAGATTCAGAGAGCAGAAACCAGATTTTGTGGTCACACAGTTAGAACCCAGGACCCAGTACTCTGTCTAGTGCCCCAGCTGCTGCCTCTTTGGCTTCTCCTCCCTGCCCACACCACCATTTGCATTGCAAACTGTGAACACAGTCTATGGGCGAATCTCTGGGGCTCAGGCACCCTCTGTGTAGTGGAGGCCGGGTAGGGGAAGAGGAAGTGGTGATCCGTTCCAGGCTGCTCCTGGGCCAGCACCCACCCCTGTGTCAGAAGCCCCTGGATGTGGTATGGTGGGGGGCTGTGCGTATATCCACAAGGCACAGGGAAATCAACCTTGGCCGGCTAATCGCCTATCCAAACATTGTTGGTAATCTGCATCCCTAAAATAAACCCTTAAAAGATGGAAAGATGTTAGTAATTTCTGGCCATATGTGCCTCCTCCTTCCTTACTCTCCCCACCTCAAAAAAGAAACTGAGCCAAATGGCAAGAAATAAAGAGTCTAATGCATAACACATTTCCATCATTTGATTTCCCCTCTCCCCTCGGTGTCCCCCCACCTATGTAAACTAAATTCCTTTACACGGTCATGGCAAAGGAACATTAATTTTTGATTTGAGTTGTGATTAAAAGCAACACAATCAAAAGAGTGAAATAGTTTCCACTGAAGCAATATCATTTTAAACCCAGTCATGGTATAGTAGGAAAGAGTGTGGTCTTTGGGGTTAAGTGTGGGTTTTAATTCTGATTCTATCTCTCTTACATACTGTGGCTTCGTGTTGTCATTACTTGACCTGAGTCCTTCTCCTTGATTGTGATAAATAATAATGATGCCTTCTTAGCATGAGTGCTGTGAGCATGAAATAAGGCGCTGCACATAAGCAGCCTACCCTGTGCTCATCTGTGGAGTGTGGCACTCAAAAAATGATGGCTCACTTCTCTGCAGAAAAGAAGGTGCCCACACTGTCAGCTGGGGCATGCACTCATATCTGCTGTTGATGCATTCCGGAGCTTCTACAGCAATGCTTGGTTGCCAGCCTTAGGTTTTGGGAAGTAGCTTGGGATTCACCTAATACCTTGGGGCCACCTTATTTAAAGGGTCTCGTGAAAGGAGCAGAATTGTTCTTACTGCCTTCTCCTCCCGTAGTATTCCTTTCTTTGATGAGTGGTTTCCCCCAGTCCTGTTTTCTCTGTTTTGCAGAGGGGAGGCCAAGATGGAAACTTGACTTTCCCTAGGCCTGGGCAGTGAGTCTCCTCCTCCTGGTTCCTTCTTTTTAAAAAAATTTTTTTTTTCAACGTTTATTTATTTTTTGGGACAGAGAGAGACAGAGCATGAACGGGGGAGGGGCAGAGAGAGAGGGAGACACAGAATCGGAAACAGGCTCCAGGCTCTGAGCCATCAGCCCAGAGCCTGACGCGGGGCTCGAACTCACGGACCGCGAGATCGTGACCTGGCTGAAGTCGGACACTTAACCGACTGCGCCACCCAGGCGCCCCATCCTGGTTCCTTCTTGAACTCCACTGAGAACCTTCCTCCTGCAGCAAGCCACAGACCAGAACAGTTGAAGTCTTTTCCCAAGTGAACCACCAGGCACAAAGTTTGTAAGCCAACAAACTAACCCAAGTGTAGGCCTGTGTGGGCATGTCTGGGGTGAAGCCCTGGACAGGTAGTTTCTATGCTTTCTGTTTGCCACACTCCTGCCTGCTGGTCCCCATACACCCTGTCTGCAGTGGGGGTAGGAATAAAGCATAATCAGAAGCACTGGGCAGTGGCCGGTTTGGGTCAGGGAGAGCTTAAAGAAAGGAACTCATTGGGAAGCTGTGCTCAACTCACTTCCACGTGTGCTGGGAAGCCTGGACCAGCCTGAAAGGTCAAGGTTAATCCTCAGCAAGAGTCTTCTGCTGCTTAGTGCCCAGTTCCTGAACCTTCTGCTGCCCTTGGGAGTGAGGCGTTTCTTAAGGGATACCAGGCCTAGGGTATTATATGAGGTTAAGTAGACTGCAAAATCTGGAACTCCTTTTGTAAAGAAAAGAAAGCAGTGGGAGTGGGTTTAATTTACTGACTTTGACACATTCATTAAAGGTTTGTTCCTAGGATTTTCCCCTCTCCTTCTTATTCTTGGGTTAGCCAAGGGTGTGTTTTTTAATCAAGTAAATACTGAATAATAAAGCCTTTGCTACAGCAGTCTTTTTAAACCAGGAGAAACTCTTTTACCATTTTGTAAACGAAGTCGTTTTGAAATGTGGGGGAAACCAGGAAGTGAGTCTGAGCTCTTCTCCCCTATTTTCTTGATCCGTTTCGCCGGTCCTCTAAATATGGGGTTCATTATGAAGAATTTTGCTGCCATAGAGTCAGCATGGACTGCATGGTGATTAAAAGTGCACATTTAAGACATGGGTTTAAATTGAGGATTAGAAACTTTGGCCAAGTTAACTTAACCCCCTACACCACACTTTTCTCATCTATTAAATGGGGAAAATAATTATACCTTCCTCATGGAGTTGTTAGGTTTAATTGAGGAAATTCATGGAAAATACTTAGCACACTTCCTGGCATGCCATATGCTCTCATAATTGTTAACTACTGTTATTCTGTTCACATTCAAGCCTTTCCTCATGGAGCCTGGGTGGGAGTTTCAAGTCATGAAAAAGAGGAGGCTTGCTAATTTTGAAGTTAGAAGAATTCAGAGGATGCACAAATTATCTGGTGACTAGCATCTAGAAAATGACTTTCATCTCCTTTGGTAAATATCTGGGCTGGCCAACCTGAGAGGGGAGTTGAGTGTCACAGTGGCACCATATTTTTAGTGCATTTACATCTTAGAGAATGCCTCCACGCATCGCTTCTCGGCCTTTTGGCTAAGATCAAGTGCAGAATGCCTCCACGCGAATTTAATTATCTTCACTAAATTTCCTGTCCATACATTCACATTAAAATAATGTTAACTCAGGGTCTGTAGAGACAAGGAAAAGATAAGGCGGACACAGTGGATGGGCTCTTTCCTTTCCTGCAGATAGCGGTGCTGAGGAAGGGAAGCCCTTGTCCTGTATTAGACTCAGAGATCATCACGTGGATTTATCTGTCAAGACTTCACCAGGACTTGCTCTATCTGTCAAGAGCTCAAAGCAGAGTTTGATTCTGTGTGGGTCTACCCAGTGGAAAGAAGCATTAGTGGCACCCGTTAGTAGTTGCTTTGTGGTTGACAGAACATCAGCAGTACCTGCTGTCAGAACTCCCTAGAGGCACAGTGGTAGGGACTATGATTTCTCCGATGCAGAAGTTGGACACTGATTTGATGCACTCAAGCATGACCATTTGATGTGCTGTTTAATTTCTCTATTGCCGCATGTGCACACATAGATTTTGTCAGTCTTGTTTATAGGATCCAACTTTTGAGGAATTTTAGGTCCCATGGATGTTAAAAAACTAAACCAATGGCTTTCTCTTAAAAAAAAA